CCACCTGCACCTTGCTCATTTGGTGGGTCCTCAGGCTCTTTTTTTTTTTCCCCCAAAGATTTTATTTGTTTATTTGACAGAGACACAGCAAGAGAGGGAACATAAGCAGGGGGAGAGGGAGAGGGAGAAGCAGGCTTCCCGCTGAGCAGGGAGCCCGATGTGGGACTTGATCCCAGGACTCTGGAATCATGACCTGAGCTGAAGGCGGACGCCTAACGACCAAGCCACCCAGGCGCCCCCCTCGGGCTCTTTTTAAAATGTGTGGGTATGCATGCTTTTAAGGTAAAAATAACATAATCATATGGAAAATTTGGAAGACAAATTAGATCATTTAGATTTCTTGCCTTTTGCAACCATTGTTCTTTTGATGTGTTTTCCTGCCAGTCTCTTTTCATGTGAGTACTTTTGACAAAATTGTTATTTGGGATTCATATAACGAAGCCTTTTCTGTATTGTACCCTGTGTCCATAACTGTGATTTTTAATGGCTGTTCAGACCACTGAAGGGACATGTACCAAAACATTGTGTGCTTACTGTCATTGGATATTTAAGTTGTTTCCTGATTTTTTTTTTAAAGATTTTATTTATTTTTAAAGAGAGAGAATGTGAGTGAGTGGGGGAAGAGGCAGAGGGAAAGGGAGAGAAAGAACCTCAAGCAGACTCCCTGCTGAGTGTGGAGCCTGACTCAGGGCTCGATCTCACGACCCTGAGATCATGACCTGAGCAGAAACCAAAATCAAATGCTCAACCAACTGAGCCACTCAGGCGCCCCTGATTTTTTTCTCCTGTTGCAAATATTGGTGCAATAAATATCTTTGCAGATACAGATCTTTACATATTTTTATCGTATTTCCTCAGGATGGATTCTCAGGTAAGAGAGTAGCAAGGTTAACTGTGGCTCTTTTCACTTGGGACCCAGCCAGCCAGTCTGGGAATGATTGCCCTGTTTTGTCATATGACACACAGCCTTGTCTCCAAAGCAAATAGGACTTCGCGGAGGGTCCGAAGTATTGGTAGCTCTGCCTGCCAGAGAGAATGCCTGAGTTTTGTTGTTGTTGTTGATGAGCGTTTATTTAATGTGTTTATTTGGAGCCTGAAATAAATCCTTCATGGGGAGCTTGGGTGGAATGCAGGATGGAAAAGCAAGGAAAAGTCACAGCTCAAGCGCAGCCAGGACCTGTGACGTGGAAAGTGGCTGCCAAACTGGAAACAAGCGTGTTTTTCCCGGCCCTTCCTGGCCAAGCTGCAGCCTGCCTGCCTGCCTGCCTCTTCTTCCTCTGTCCTCAGACACTGCAACCACACGAAGGGCTCCCCTTTCCCCGCGGTGCTGGGCCTCTCGCCCCCTCCCTGCCTTCCCCTCCCCTCCCTTCTTCACTCGGCACTGGGCTCTTGTGCTGTGCACGCATGTCCCTGCTAGAATCATCCGTCATTGGCTCCGGGAGGTCAAGAGCTGCACCCTCTTCGTCTTGGTGTGTCCCTCACACCGTGACTCTTCCCTGAATGAAAAGAACTGAGCGCAGGTGCGTTTTCTTTGTTACAGATTCAAGGAAGGGCATTAGCCGGTCTGAGTCCTTTGTGTACCAAGGGGGTTTTAGGTTACCTCTCTATAGGTGAAACTCAGCTCTTGCCATCCCTTGAAATAACTACTTGACCCACTTAAGAGTCAGCTGGTGCTTGGTGAGTGGGAAAGGAGGTTGCTGCTGTGGACTTCTTATTTGTGGTTTGGAGTAGAAGCTGAGGGTCTTCATTCAGACCAGTCAGTGTGGTCCTTGGTACAAGACTCTGCATGTCTGCTACCATGGGTGTTCCCCAAGGACTTCCTGAAGTCCAGGAATAGAAAACTGAACAGAAACAGTTGTCCTGGTCACTCACGTGCCCTATCAGTGTTCCTCAGGAGTGGGGTTCCTTCATTCAACCACATGGAGCGCCTTCCATTTGTCTACTGCACCAGGCTTTGGGGGTGCACTGCTGAACAAGCCTTCCCCTCTCAGGCTTACCACTGTGTCCCTGGAGATAGACAAATTCAGGATCCGGCTCAGCCACTACCCCTGAGATCTTGGACAGACTACTTCCTCTTTCTGAGCTGGGGCTTTCTCCAGCTGCAAACTCCTCACAGGGTAGTCATGGCATTGAAATGGGAGGGGGGTTGTAGCTTTTCTCAGCCAGGGCTGCTCAGCTGAGCCACAGAGCACAAGAAGCTGGTTGAAGTGACGGTTTTCTCCATTCTCTCAAGGATGGATTAGAACCAGGACTATTGTAGATGCGTAGGAGAGAAGTCAAGTCGTTGCAGAGAGTGGATACCTTAGGGCGTTGGGCCATAATTCTTTTGAGGAACCAGGTTGAGGAAGGCTGGTAGAACCTTCATTTCTTTCTTTCTTTTTTTTTTTTTAAAGATTTTATTTATTTATTTATTTATTTGAGAGAGAGAGAGAGAGAGAGAAACAACATGAGAGGGGAGAGGGTCTGAGGGAGAAGAAGGCTCCCTGCTGAGCCGGGAGCCCGATGTGGGACTCGATCCCAGGACTCCGGGATCATGACCTGAGCCGAAGGCAGTCGCTTAACCAACTGAGCCACCCAGGCGCCCAAACCTTCATTTCTGACAGCTTGACACAGTGGCCAGTTTTGGGGTGACTAGAACTTCACCATAGCATCACTGTGTAAGCCTGGCACATAGCAGACACTCAGTAAATGTCAGCTCCCTTCCTCCCCCATCAGGCCTGAGCTGCTCATCTTTCAGAAAGAGCCCAGGTCTCCCAGAGTGTTCCAGGCTCCCCTTCTGAGGCAGGGTGCTTCTGGGCCCTGGCGCTGCTGCAGTCATGCAGGCGCCCCCCAGCTTTTGGTCCCTACCTCCCCAAGAAAGTGGAGGAGAGCACGCAGCATGTACTCTTCACACATCACAGGAGCTTCTGCTCTGCATCGGGCCCTTCAGCAAGCACTAGGAGCCAGAAGTTTGAACTAGACACAGAAGCATCTGGCTGCAGAGGTTACAGCCTGCTAGCGGAGACAGTATTTGTTTATGGTGAATCTGTTGAGGGGTCCAGGACCAAGTGTTGAAGATTTTAGAAAAAAGGAAGAGAGATCACTATAGGCAGAGTAGACAGCTCGCTCACCCCCAGAATCCTCTTCTGGCTGACCTTGGTAAAGGAAATGACCTCTCTTCATGATCTGGAGGTTGCTTGTTAAAATGTGTGCACGTCAGGCAGACATGTGGGCCAGCACCCGAAACTGCTGTCTGTCCTGTGACATAGACTCAGGTGACCAGTTCCTTGGATGGTGGATCTGATTTCATTGACTTTAGCTCACCCAGTCTGCTGTGGCTTGGTGTTTTGCTGAGTCGGAAAGGGGAACAGAGCCTGAGCCCCACATCTTTCTTGCAGGAAGCCAGCCCAGTGATTCTGGGAGAAATCTCCTAGTCATTCAGCCAAGGAATAACCTCAAGGCCAGTTGCTCCAGCTCAGGTGGCCTTCTGAACCTCACGTTGTCCAAGTTTGTCCAAGTTTCAGGGGCCACCAGACAGGGATGGTGTCCAGCAGAAAGGACAGAGCCATGTGGCCTCCTTGCAGAGGAAATTGGGTGGGGGTGCAGAGATAAGGTACATCCAGAGAGAAGAAGTGGGTTGGAGCTGTGTGCCCAGCCCTGGGCTAGGCCCTGGGGCCAGCCAGCCAGTCTCACCAGTCAGGAATCAGAGGCCCAGGTGGGAAAATGAGCATTGGTATGTGTGAAAAACATGAGAGACACTCACCACTGACCCTTGGTTCTATGAATGTGCAGATTAGGGAGCCAGCCATTTTGAGACCTCAGACAAGTACAGCACCATGGTGAGGGTCTGTTTCCACATCTGAGATGTGAGGGGATTGTCCTCTGAGGGTCTGTCTAATGTGAATATCATATTTGAGAATCTGTTTTGTGGAGGTGAAGCTGGGCCAGCAGGACGGGAGCATGTGGACCCTAGTGAGGGGTGGGGGTTGGGAGGGTTAGGTACATAAGAGGGGGGGCCGGGGGAGGCCTTGTAACCGGGGCCTTGGCAGAGTCCGACGTCCTGGTGCCCATCCTTCACAGCTGTTTCTCCCAGAGCCCAGACACCGCTGTCGAGCTGGACCTGAGCCCCGTACCTATTATGTATGGGGAAGGGGGAGGGGAAGGGACGATGAAGTGACTGGAGGGCGCAGGATGAGGCTACTGGCCACTGGCCCCAGGCCAGCAGGGAGGCTGCTGGGGTGAAGGAGATGACGGGGGTGGGGGGTGCTAGGTAGCCCTAGGCCAGAGGGCTGGCCTTGGCAGAGGTCAGATGGGGAAGGGAAGACTCAGGAAGGAAAACTCAGGAGAAGACTGTGTTCAGAGGACATTTTTGCATTTTTTGAAAAGAATCCAGAAAAAAACCCAAAAACATTCTCCCGGCTTTTCATCTGAGCCCTTCATGCCTCTATTCCCAGCAAGTGTGTCTGATTTAATAAAATCAACATTGGCAGCCGGCATCATGTTTTTGTTCCAGAACCTTAAACTGTCCTTTAAAAAAGAAGAGGAATAAGTGCTTCCTATAAAATAATAAATACAACAGTTAAGAAAGGTTATGAAGTAAAGAAGAAGTTTCTACCCCTGCCCCCCCCACCAAAAAAGAAAACCAACACCCCAGTCCCTGGAGGTAAATACCGTGAACCGTTTTGAATCTGGAAAGGGCACTAACAAGGACATGGGCGGTATCTATTCCAAGGTCTCACAGTGGGAAGCTTGCTCTGGGTCTCTTCTGGGAAGTCATTGGGGCTGAACTCTCCTCCTTTTCCAGAAAGGGAGAAGAGACCACAGCTCTGATGTGGCAGGGGCTGGGCACAGGAGCCTTCCGAGAGGCTTTTCAGGGCCCCAGGGAGGGCCTCAGCAGTCTCCCTTCAGCCAGGTATCCCTGGGAGAGGCCAAGAGATGGCGCTGTCCCTCCCCTTCATCAAGGTTCTCTCTTCTCCCCAGGCATCTCATGGCTGTTTTTTGTTTTGTTTTTACCTTTGCAGGATCCCTCTGTGACCCAGCTGACCAGTGCTCCGCAAGGTGGCCTGGCTGAATTCAACCCCTTCTCAGAGGTTGGTGAGCATGTGCTCTTTCTGAGTCCCTGGGTCCTCTGGCTGGTGCTAGATTTCTGGGGCAAGGAGCCTTGGCAGAGGCAGAGACAGCTCTGAGAAGCTTCAGTCCTCAAAGGGACAGTCCTAACATGAGCTTGGGGTGGGGGGAAGGGTGAAGAAGTCACCAATTCTCCCCTTGGGATCTGTGATCTGGGCCCCACCCTGAGGAGAGCAGGGCAGTGCTGGGGAGCTGTGGCTCCAGCAAGGCCAGGGGTGCTGGGGGAAGCACCACATTGCCCAGAGCCTTAGGCTTGATGGCCAGGAAGCCGCAGAGGTAGGCCCAGGCCTGCCCCCAAGGGAATGCAGGCAGGGGCACGTCACTCACCCTGCTGTGGGTTTGCCCCCGTGTGGCTGACCGGTGGAGCCACTCACCCGCCTCCTTTGGTGTGTCCCACACAGACAAATGCAGCGACAACAGTTCCTGTCACGCAGCTCCCTGGGCCCTCGCAGCCAGCGGTTCTCCAGCCCTCGGTGGAACCAACCCAGCCAACCCCCCAGGTACTGTTGACAAAGATCCCTTTAGCCTCTCCTTTCCCGCAAGAGAAGCGCCCAGACAAGTAGCTGAGCCCTGAGATTGGGGGAGGGGGTGGACAGAGGGCCTTCATTCCTGGCTCCCCTTCAGGGGCCCTCTTGATCATCTCTTTGGAGCTGGGCACTTGCACATGGTGGGTCTGCTCAGCCAGCCTAGATCCTCACCCCCACCCCACTACTACCACCAAAAAATAAGCTCTCCTTACCAGGCTGGAGTTCTCGGTGTCTTCAGCGAGAGCATTTGCCCCTGTTGTGCCATTCCAGGTCCTCCTGGAACCTTTGGTCTGTTCTCTCTTACTCGGGACCCAGAATCTCTCTCTCTTTCTCACTTTTCTTTTTTCCACCTCTTTTATTCTTGTCTTCCTTCCTATTTTCCTTTGTCCCTTCACCAAATACTGTGAATCTTGTCTGCCTTGTCCTGCCCCTCTACTCCGTCACCTCATTGCCCCGTCCTGTGCTCCCCATCGCCCCGGTGAGCGTGACCCACAGTGGAGTTGTATGTTGCAGCTCCTGCTTAGACAGGCCAGCAAGTTCCTGCCTACCAGATTCCTGGCAGTGAGTGAGCTCTCAGAGAGGCAGATGCTACTAGGAGGAGATAGTATTCTCAGAGACAGCTACATGCGAAAGCTTCGGAAGGTAGGCAAAGTATAGATGAGCGTGAGTGAGGGCAAGGCCCGAGCTGGGCTTTGGACTCTTGTGGGCCCCAAGCTGCTCCCACTGTATGACCGGACTTGGGAGGGAGGGCTAAGACCGTCAGCAGGGTACAGCGTGGTCAATTCTGGGCCTGCTTTTGCCCCCAGGGCCTGAAACTTACTTCCCGAAGTCAGCCTTAGCTCTTCGGAGAACTCTTTTGGAGAGAGTGAGGGAGCGAGCGTGTGTATGTGTACACGTGCACACACACACACGTATGTACACATACGCCTGGCTTGTCATCCTGCAAGATGACTGGTTTGATATCCGCTCCCTAAGGACTGCAGACCTCCGGAGGAGCCGGGTGCCAGTGGCTGTAGCACCCGGCAGGAGCGGGGCCCGGGGCCCTGGGTTGGAATGCCTCATGTGAAGCTCCCTAGATGCCTCCCTCGGAGGCCTTGCTCTGCCTGGACAGGGAATAAAGCTTGGACTCTGCACGTCATCAAAGCCAGGCAGAGCAGGGCCAAGCCGGGGGGGCTGGCCTGGGATGTAGCTGGTCACAGGTCAGGTGGATGTCAGATGGCCGCTCCTGGGGGTGGGGTGGGGTGGTGCTTAGATCCCTGAGGCCCTAGGTGCACCTTGGTCCACCCTGCGTGCCTCCCCTTGCACTCACTGTTAGCAGGTTTGCACTGTGTCCCCCTCACATGCACACCCTCCAGGCTCTTCAAGTGAGGTGTAGCTCTCCGGGTTTCTGTTTACAGGTTAGTCTCTCATGAGGCCGTTTTCCTTTTGCCGTTACCCCAGAGGTCACTATAATTGAACTTTGCCTGGCTTCCAGAGTGGGAGATACTTCTCTCATCTCAAGCTCAGGGAGGAAGGGGAGACAAGAGCCCTGCTTAAGGCTGGTTAACATCTAAGAGGACAGAGGTGTCGAGGCAGTAGGAGACGGGCCACCTTGGCATCTCTGTGGTGGTCTCTGGTACCCAAGACACCGTGGGGCTGGGATTGGCTCTTCCTGTGTGGGGCAAGGCCCTTCTGACTTCTGCTCAGGCTGACACTATCCCTCTGTCTCCCACGTCCGGCTGCCCCCACCCTCCGTGCCCCCCAGGCCGTGGCCTCCGCAGCACAGGCGAGCCTGCTCCGGCAGCAGGAAGAACTGGACAGGAAAGCAGCCGAGCTAGAGCGCAAGGAGCGGGAGCTGCAGAACACAGTGGCCAACTTACACGGTAAGGGAGACTGCCGGCCTGTGGGCCAGTGTGCCTGGGGTAGGAGCCTTCCCTGAGCCTGCTTGGTCCCGGGCAGCCCCGGAGCTCTGTTGGGCTCTAGATCATCCCAGTGGCACTGGTGCCGGTGCCGGGAAGAGCAGCGAGGTGGAGGCTGGGAGGCCCGCAGTGTGGTCCTCGCGGCTGTAGATGGTTTCTGCACTCCTTCCCAGCTCACTTAGGCCCTTTTGCTCTGTTTGCCAGTGCATTTGGGACCCATTATCTTGGAGTGGGCTTGTGGGTATTCGTGCCCCATTCCACTTTGCCCATCCCACTCCCTACCCATAGCGACCCTGACTCCCACTTGCCGGTGCCCTTCTCGGAGCCCTGGTTTGGCCCATAAACTGCTGGAGCGTGCACCCCACGTGCTGCTGTAGAGGCCAAGCCTGACCTCGTTGCCTCTTTGCGCACACAGTGAGAGAGAACAACTGGCCACCCCTGCCCTTCTGGTGCCCTGTCAAGCCCTGCTTCTATCAGGATTTCTCAGTAGAGATCCCTGCCGACTACCAGCGGATATGCAAGATGCTGTACTATCTCTGGATGTGTGAGTCCCGCTCCTGCCCTCTGAGCTCCAGGACAAAATGGGCTGTGACTCCCGAGCCCTGTCTGCTCGGGCTGCTCCTCACCGCAGACTCCAGCCTTCCTCAGTGCTGGCCCGGGGTTGGGGGCGGGGGGGCCTTCTGCCCACACGATTGGCCTTCCACGGTCTACTCCCTGTTCTGGGAGCCTCCCCGAAAGGGCCCACTCACCCCAGTTCACACCACAGATGAGTAGGGTGGGACTAGCAGGAGGCATTAGAGTTCCTGTGGGGCTCATTGGCCGTGAAAGGCCCTCCTTAGGTGAAGGCCTCCCTCCCCACAGGCCCCTCGGCTCCTAGGAGTACGGGCGGATATGAGACTCCCTATAGCTCCACTGTGGGCCCTCCATGGCCAGGGACGAGAGTCACTGAAAGAAAGACTTCTTCCCCAGGGATCAGCCCTTGAGTCTGCATCCCCACCTCCACCCCCTGCCCTCCTTCATATGGTTGGGCTGTCCCCTCACTTAGGAACTATCACTATCTCTTAGGAACTGGTGTGGTCCCTGGTTTTGCTGCCCCAGAAAACCAGGATTTGGGAGCTCACCCTGCCTTGGTGCAGACTAAGGACTGGGGTTTCTGCCATTGCCCTCACTGTATGGACCTCACGTCCTCTCCAGGGGGTGGTTTGCCAGGCCTGGGAGCCCTTCCCTCCCCTCGGCACCAGCCCATCTGTCTCTCTCCTCACCCTCCCCAGTGCATTCGGTGACTCTGTTTCTGAACCTGCTTGCCTGCCTGGCCTGGTTCTTAGTTGACAGCACCAAGGGAGTGGACTTTGGCCTTTCGATCCTGTGGTTTATCATCTTCACCCCCTGTGCCTTCCTTTGTTGGTACCGACCCATCTATAAGGCCTTCAGGTGAGTGGGGCTGGGGCAAGGGAGGGAGTATATGGCTGGCATCCCAGGTAGCAGGCCAAGGGCCTTATGCCCAGGGGCCCCATCCCAGTCTTAGAGCAGAATAGGATGGTGGGGCAATCCACTTTCCCATTCCCACCCACAGTGGGAGCAGATGGGGTTCAGGAGCCATTTTCCTGAGATGTTGTGCCCACGGTCTGTTCTGGGCACTGTCCTTGGACTAGGCACTGGAGACCTAGAGACGGGTCCTTGCGCTCCCACCTGCTCCCATGCTATCTGATGCTTTAGGATTTCGGTCACTAGGAAGAAGGCGGGGCTTCTTCAGCTCCCTTCTGAGGCTTCAGGGAGTCCACTTTGATAAGCTCTCCATGGCTTATCGCTCCTAGCTTGTTTCCGCCTCTCTCCTGCCTCCCCAGTAACTTTCTTGAGCCTGCTGAGTGCAGAGCGGTTGACTAGAATAGATACTGTGGGCCTGAGCGGATCCACCTCACAGACCCCTCGGGTGTGTGCCATTGTGCCTCTGAGTTGCTGCGTTCAGGCCTGGGAGCCTAGCAGGCCCCAGGGAGGGGGCGGGCAGTGGCCGAACCCATGTACTCCGCAGGCGGTACGCCAGCCCTCAAGACATGGAGATGGACTTTGGTCTAGAGTTTTGCGCTCCCCAAATAACTCTTCTTCCACCCAGGCCAATGGTTTTATTATTAGATATTTATATCTAGCTCTTATGAAATGCAGATATGTACCCCAGGAAATGGACCGTTAGGCTCTTTATGTTGTCCTCTGGGGAGCAACTTTATTAGCTCTTTGAGTAAGGGGTCAAGACCCCTTACTGGAGGACAGTGAGTGGCAAGCCCTCTTTGATTATGGTTGTGGATGTCTATGTTCTCTGGACAGTGTGTTTGGTCCCCTGGAGCTCTGTCTGCGCTCCCATCCTGGCTCCCCATGCCATGCCAAGCAAGGAATCCTGAGGAGTGAACCCCAAGCCCACTTGTGACTTTGGATTTCCCCCTCTCTCCACAGGTCCGACAACTCTTTCAGCTTCTTCGTGTTCTTCTTCATATTTTTTTGTCAAATAGGGATCTATATCATCCAACTGGTTGGCATCCCTGGCCTGGGGGACAGGTGAGACCTGGGGAGCATGAAGGGATGATGCTTTGGAGGCGGCCTGGCCTCTCTTGCCCTGTCTCCTCACTCCCACAGAGCCCTCCCAAGGACCCATCCTCCACCCTGGCGGGCTGGCTGGTGTCCTCCTCTGTGCCCCCTCCAGTTCTTCACCGGTCACCACTCGCTGCCTCGCCTGTTCACCACTTTCTGGGGTGTCGTGGGTGGACTTGCCCTGAACCCTTAGGTTGCCAGGGCTATATCCCATGGAGGATTGCAGCCTCTTCCTTTGCTCCTGCTGCGCCCTCCCAGAGGCTGGTGCTACTTCTACAGGCCGCAGGCCAGCCCCCGGGTTTGGGCAGCTGCCGACAGAGGCCCTGGTCTTTTGCAGACTCTGTGCTGTGACTTTGTCCAGAGGCCCTGTAATGTCAGGATGAAGCCCTAGCCTCTCCTTGCTTTGAGCATAGAGCTGGCTTGAGTTTCCTGGGTACTGGAGTCCTCAGCTCAAAATTAGCCTCAAAAAGAAAAGCTGCCGGCTGATGTTTTCCTTTCTGCCCCAGTGCACAGGGAACATTACAGAAAGGTCAGACTGCCGCTTGGCTGAGAGCCCGAGCCCGGAAGGGCTGCACTACTTTGGTCCCTTCCCTCCAGTGGAGCTGGCAAATGCAGGGTGGAGGGAGGGGGCTGACTCACCTTGTGCTCCGAGCGTGCCCACTGCCCTCCTGCCGTCCCTCATCCGTCTCACCCTGCTGTTTCTGGACTGGCCCCTTTCTCTTTGAAAATGTCATCACTCACTACCCTCAGTGAGATCCTGGAAGACAGGCTGTGGCCTAAGTGCTCTTTGCTTCCCAGCCAGGGAGTCAGAAGGCTTGAGTTCTGGTCCGGGCCTGCCCCCGCCCTTCCCCCCCACCACAAGCTCAGCAGCCTCAGCAGCCTCCAGCTTCCCAGTGCCTCCCCCACCTCACCTCCCAACCCCCATGGCTGGATGGATAGAACCCCCACTTTCTTGTTATCGAGTATAAAATACACAGAACATAAAATGTATTGACCACTTAAACCATCTTAAAGTAAAAAATTCAGTGGCATTTAGTAGAGCCACAGTGGTATGCGGCCCTGTCCGCTGTCTAGTTCTAGGACATTTGTGTCATCCCCGAGAGGAGACTCTACTCATCAGCAGGCCTCCGGCTCCCTCCTTCCCGGAACCCCTGGTGGCCGTGAAGCTGCTCTTTCTCAGTCTCTCTCTGGATCTGCCTACTCCGGACATTTCCTATAAATGGAACCATACAGTATGTGGCTTTTTGCACCGGCCTCACTCAGCATGATGTTTTTAAGGCTCGTGTTGTAACACGGATCAGTACTTCAGTACTGATCAATATTTTTTATGGAGTACTCATCCATCCGCTTGTCCGCACATCAGTGGACAGACCCTGGGGAGGTTTCCACCTTTTTGCTGTTGTGAACAGTGCTGCTATGAACATTTTTGTACAAGTCTTTGAATACCTGGTTTTGGTTCTTTCGGGTATGTATCTGGAGTGGGATTGTTGGGTCACGTGGTAAGTCTGTGGAGGAGCGCCCCGTTTCCCTTGGCAGTGTACGAGGGCTCTCACTTGTTTGTTCCCAGCCTAGAGGTGTATACACACCCAGCATGGAGCCCAACATGGGGCCCGAACCCACGACCCCGAGACCAAGACCCGGGTGCTTCACCACTGAGCCACCCGGGCACCCCTCTTGCTGTGGTTTTGATTGGCATTTCCTGAATAACTAATGATGTTGGCCATCTCTTATGTGCTTTTTGGCCATTTGTGTTTCTTCGTTGAAGAAATGTCTATTCAGGTCTTTCTCTAGTAATTGGGTTGCCTTTTTGTTGTTGAGGTCTTTATATATTCTGGATGCTAATTTACCAGATTAACACATTTCCCCCCTTCTGTGTATTATTTTTTCATTCTTGTGATAGTGTCCTTTCATGCACAAAAGCTTTCAATTTTGATGAAGTCCAATTTTTTTCTTTTGTTGCTTGTTTTCAGTGTCATATCTAAGACCAGTGCCAAACCCAGAGTCCTGGAGAGTGAACTGTTTTCTTCTAAGTATTCTATTTTTAGCTCTTATTAGGTCTCTGATCCATCTTGAGTTAATATTTTTTACATTGACCTGTTGTCTGTCCTTGTGCCAGTACTGCATGTTTTTTTGTAGAAAGTTTTTAAGTCAGGAAATGTGAGAATATCCCCTTTTATAGATAAGGACACTGGGGCTCAGGAAGGTGACATGACTGACTGGGGGCAGAGGGGCTGTCCTGAGTCCCGGCAGGAGGAGCTGAGGTGATCGGATGAATGCAGTGGGTTGGCCAGTGGTCCTCTTTCCCAGAGGGCGGGCTGCAGGAGTGAGCAGCCAGGCTTTCCATATCCCCTAGAGCAGCAGGAAAAGGCCCTCCCCTGGACTACTCCTGTCTGAGGGCAGCGTGGGGCCTGTCAGCCTTCACAGAGGCCTGGCCTCTCACAGGCCAAGGGCTTCTGGCCCACAGCTCTGCGCTGCAGGGAGGTGCCTGGGTGGTGGCTGGTCAGCCTACAGCGGCCACTTAGAGAAGACCCCCCCCCGGGGACCTCTTAGGGCCCACTCTCACTGTGTGCCCTCTGGCCTCCTCCTCCCCCCTTTGCAGTGGTTGGATCGCAGCCCTGTCTACACTGAAGCAGGACCACTTGGCTGTGTCAATCATCATGATGGTGGTGGCTGGCTTCTTCACCCTGTGCGCTGTGCTCTCACTCTTCCTTCTGAAGCGGGTGAGTGGTGGGTGCTGGGCCAGCAGCACCCTGAGGAGGCAAGGCACTCTTTCCTGCCTTTGCCTTGGGGATGCCCATCACTGGAGGCACTTGAGCCCCCGGGGCCCCAGAGGTCCAGTGACTGTCACCAGGGTTCCGCGTGGGAGGTCACACGGGCCCCCGGGGCACACTCCTCACCGCAGCCTCTTTCCCCAGGTGCACTCCCTCTACCGCCGGACGGGGGCCAGCTTCCAGCAGGCCCAGGAGGAGTTTTCCCAGGGCATCTTCAGCAATAGGACCTTCCGCAGCGCTGCCTCGTCTGCTGCCCGAGGAGCCTTCCAGGGGAACTAGGCCTCCTGACTCTCCTTTGTTTGCCCCAGCCTTTTCTCTTGCCTGCCTTCTAGCTGCACTTTCCATGGGTGCCTTAAACAGTGGTTATGCCCAGCACAGACCTGGGGAGGGTCTGGCACGGTCCTTCCTCCTTCCTCAGCCACCAGCTCTCTATTCTGCCCGAGGGGAGGGGAGGGGAGGGAGGGACAGGGACTATTTTTTTTTTTTTTTTTTTTTTTACACAAGAGAAAAAAAAAAGCTGTCTTTCCTTCTCTGGTGGTGGTTTGGTAGGTTCGAAGCAGTGGGACTGTAGTTCACTTCCCCTTACACGTGTACACACACACATACACACACGCGCATCACATACACGTACACACTTGGAAATCACCAGCTGACCTGGGCCCATGCCAGCTGGGGTTTTATTTCTGCCAGGATCCTCGGACTCCACCCCCAGTAGGCCTGGCCTGAATCTGGCTCCACAGACCCAGCCTGTGGCTTCCACAGTCCTGCCTTTCCTTCCTGCCCAGGCTGGGGTGGTCTCCCAAGGGCTCCCCTTTAGATGAGCTGCCGTCCAGGTGGGTGGAAAGCTCTGTCCCCCAGATCACTCTGAGGTGGTCTCTGGGCTTCCAGAGCCTCTGGCATGGTCGCTCCCAGGCTCTTCCCTGCCTTATGTTTCTCACAGATTTATAGCCCTTTAGTACCCCCTGCGCCTTCCTGGTGTGGGAGGCACATGTGCCCTCTGGGGTCCTCTCTGAGCCCTCTCCCCTCTGTAGACTTACTGAGTGTGCAGTGGGGTTGGCTGGGATTCGGGGATGGGGAGGGATGGACATTGACCCCAAGTAGTCCTGTCCAGCCTTTGACAGTTGTCTAGGAAGGTGGAGTCTGACTGTCCTGGTGTGGTTTGGCCCTGTTTTGATTTCCTCCTGAGGGACAGCGGCCCTTTGCCGTGGCCTCAGATTCTACCCCACTCTGCCTTCTCCCCTCAGCAATCTCTCATGTGTATGACTCTTCTGGGGGGGCGCCGAAGAATCAGTCCAGAACTGCATCCCTCATGCTGGACTGATGAGCCACTTTTCCTAGGGTTCTCCCGTACCCCCAGTAGAACCTAGGTCACCTGTCACTGGCCCTGGGGATTCCTCAGGTGTGTCCATGTGATGGGTACCTGGGATTACACCGATAAAACCTGCACCCTGTCCTCTAAAGGCTGTATACAGGGGTGGGTGTGTGGACTGAGGGGACTTCTCAAAAAGCTGGCCAACTGCCTGCCTCTGGGACCTGGGGCCCACCCTGAGGCAGCGTGCAGACTGCCAGCCCACTCAGGGGCCCACTCTCACTGTGTGCCCTCTGGCCTCCTCCTCCCCCCTTTGCAGTGGTTGGATCGCAGCCCTGTCTACACTGAAGCAGGACCACTTGGCTGTGTCAATCATCATGATGGTGGTGGCTGGCTTCTTCACCCTGTGCGCTGTGCTCTCACTCTTCCTTCTGAAGCGGGTGAGTGGTGGGTGCTGGGCCAGCAGCACCCTGAGGAGGCAAGGCACTCTTTCCTGCCTTTGCCTTGGGGATGCCCATCACTGGAGGCACTTGAGCCCCCGGGGCCCCAGAGGTCCAGTGACTGTCACCAGGGTTCCGCGTGGGAGGTCACACGGGCCCCCGGGGCACACTCCTCACCGCAGCCTCTTTCCCCAGGTGCACTCCCTCTACCGCCGGACGGGGGCCAGCTTCCAGCAGGCCCAGGAGGAGTTTTCCCAGGGCATCTTCAGCAATAGGACCTTCCGCAGCGCTGCCTCGTCTGCTGCCCGAGGAGCCTTCCAGGGGAACTAGGCCTCCTGACTCTCCTTTGTTTGCCCCAGCCTTTTCTCTTGCCTGCCTTCTAGCTGCACTTTCCATGGGTGCCTTAAACAGTGGTTATGCCCAGCACAGACCTGGGGAGGGTCTGGCACGGTCCTTCCTCCTTCCTCAGCCACCAGCTCTCTATTCTGCCCGAGGGGAGGGGAGGGGAGGGAGGGACAGGGACTATTTTTTTTTTTTTTTTTTTTTTTTACACAAGAGAAAAAAAAAAGCTGTCTTTCCTTCTCTGGTGGTGGTTTGGTAGGTTCGAAGCAGTGGGACTGTAGTGGGACTGTAGTTCACTTCCCTTATGTGCTTTTTGGCCATTTGTGTTTCTTCGTTGAAGAAATGTCTATTCAGGTCTTTCTCTAGTAAGAGCGTGCCCACTGCCCTCCTGCCGTCCCTCATCCGTCTCACCCTGCTGTTTCTGGACTGGCCCCTTTCTCTTTGAAAATGTCATCACTCACTAC